TAATATTTTTATTTATTATATAACAATTTAATTTAGGATTATTTTAAATTTTGTACTAAAGTAACTCATGGGTATAAAAATTTAAATAATTTTTATAAAATATAATTTTAAAATAATTGCTAGATTCTATTGGGTGGTAACTCTCAATATTTTGATATTTCAATATTATTAAAAATAAAATAATTAGAGAAACGTTACACTAACCTTTTATGCATTAAGTTTGAGGTGATATATTGGTAGGTAGGGGGGAACATTTATTTTGGGGAATGATCTAAAAAAAAGAATACAAGACTATCGATCAGCAAGATTCATATCTTTCAGGTATAGAGTCTTAATCTTCCAAATCAATCAATTAATATTTACTTATTATCCACTAAAACAGAATTGGGTATGCATGCATGCAATGTACCATAAACTAATTTATTTTAATAATTTATTATTATTATTTTAAATATTAGTTATTTATTTTATTAAAAGAGCATGACGTCATTGCATCGAATAATGAAAAGAACAGGATCAAAAATCAGCGTGTGGCGGTCGTTTCCCAGATCTTGCGGTACTTCAGAAATTATTTTTTCAATCTTTGCACTTTTCTTCACCTTTCAACCATCCCGCAAAACTTTTTCCAACCTTCAAAATTTATTTTCCTTTCTTTTAATTTAATTTATGTTTGAATTGGACTACAAAATTTTTTTATGTATATATTTATTATTATAAAATTTTTATTAAAAAAATGTATAGATTTAGTATAAAAATCTCAATGATCGAAGGTAAGAATATTAGAAATTTTTGGGTCCGTCCATTACATTGACTGTAAGACTATTCCTAATAACTATGCAACACCATTGACTGGGGAGATTTAGAATTTTTTTTAGATTTATTTTGTTAAATGGTTAAAAAGTAATTAAATATTGATTATGTAATTAGTAGGTTGGTGGTTTGCACATGGTTTCTAACAATTATTAAGTCTAAATGTTTCGTGTGGAATATTATGATCAAGTCGTACGGAGGGAATTAGACAGATTAATTTGTTAATTTTTTATGAGGGAGGAAGACAAATTAATTAGTACTTTCCCTTGTTTACATTTGACAACATTATATATATATATATATGCACCATCATAATCGTAATTGTGCCAGTTGTACAAAATGCATGTAAAGAAGAACTAAAAAAAAAATATGAAGGAATAGTATTTTTCACTAGCAACGTGTACCTTGGTGTTTAACAAGTTTATATTATATTTCAAAGTTTCAAGTTTAAATTCTATTAAATAAGTTGTAATATTCGGACTCGAAAATTGGTTCGGAATAATTTATATTTTATTTATAAAATACATAATTAATTAAAAAATTTTTACTTTAATTTAAATTTTTGAGAAAAAAATAAATTAAAAACAAAATTGAAAAGAATTTTAAAAAAATGGATAAAATTTTAAATCCAAAAGGTGTTTTCAAAAAAAAAAAAACCTTGAAAACATGAGGTGAAATCACAAAAAGATGAAATTCGGCCACATGGGACAACTTAGTCGGCAGCCTGAGCAAACCAGAGCACGCCGCATGATAGATACTCTGACATTGGCACCACGCGGGAGGCCATGCAGGTGATCCGCGTGCCTGGCAATCCGACGGTCCAGGCCTCATTCCCACGTGCATGAACGACTCATATACATTTTCTCTTTAAACCCGATCGGTTGGATGAGATTGATCGTGATGGACGGTCTAGGTTCGTCCATCCCATCAGCCTAAACGAGAAATCATCGAATGGTCCTCCTTACTCCACGTTGACACAAACGGATGGCCTAGATTGAATAGGATAAAAATATTTAAACTCCCCTTCACTGGGGAACTAAACCCTAACCGACTAAAGGTTGACCGGGGAAGAAGAATAAGGGTGATCGGGGAAAGAAGCAGACGCCGGAGAATGAGCCCGACCACTGTCACTGCCGTCGAAGCCACTGTCGACACTAAAACAAGTACTTTTTTTCTCTTCTCGCTCGAAATTCAATTTCGAGCCTCCCTGTGGTCATATCGGAGCAAGTGAGACGATGACTGAGTCGAAAAATTGCGGACAAAGCCCAACTGAACTGTCTCTGTCAAAATTTGAAACCCTCTCCGATGACCCCCTTTCCATTTTCCATTTCACGCGATTCTTTGACCACTATATTCATCGTCTCTTTCTGGTGCAAGTTAGTCGAAGAGGAACCCCAGCCGCGAAAGAGAACTGGCAGAACCGCTGCACTCGGAGACCCCATCCCCCCAACTGGTATATCTCACTTTTTTTTTCCGGCCAACTGAAGTCTCTTAATGTATTTTTCGCATGGATATGTGTAAAATCGGTCAAAAACATATCAAAGTGAACCGCCAACATGGGCAGCAGAGCTGGTGCCGGTGCCAGAACCTTAAAATTTGCCAAAAAGATTTTTCAACACCGATTTTAGCCTTTTGAGGTGTTTTTGGGTACGTAACGAGTATTTTAATTTCTGCATAGAAAATTTATAAAATCCGGGGACCGTTAGGAGGTGTAGTAGATAACACGGTATTTTAAAATATCAATTCGGATAAGAATCACTCACCATATTCCCTGTTACGGTAAATTGAGGCTTAATAATCGAATATCTTGTATTTTATGAAAAATAAAAAAAAATATTAAAAATAATTACAGGTCACTAGTGGAGTCGGAACCGATCAGTTCATATTTACCCTGATTCACTATTTATTTTTTTGTACCGCTTGAATTGCTTACTATTATATTATGCATGTTTAATTGATGATTTTGATTGTTTTCTCGGTTGTTTGGTTTACTTCACTGCACATTCTCGTCTTGGTTTATTCTAAAATAAAATATATCAATTATGTTATTAATGTACATATCGCCTGTTTGCATAACCTACTATTGATTTGTGAATACGAAATGTTAGTATGAAATTGACAATTGATTGATGATATAGATATATGTATGAAAGGCTTACTGGGTATTCTGAAAAAAGGTGGACGGATTTGGTACATAGGGAACCCTATTGTGAACATTATATCAGCTAGAGGAGGCTGAGAAGTCCTATATCATAAGAGTTTGGGAGACATATTTTGTAACGGCCCCGGAAATTTTAAATGAAATAAGTGTATTAAAATATCAATGCGGAAGCGAAGTTAAAATTCGATTAACATCCCTTACACTAAAACCAAAACGTACTCAAAATATAAAAGGTCAAATTAACTAAAAGAGAAATTCGAAAATAAGAGCTATGAATAAAACTATGGAGTCCTTAGGCGTCTCCTTCGTCGTCTTCTTGCGGAACAGGCTCGGAAACAACGTCTTCCTGATCTGAAATGATTAAATAAGGAATGAGCTACACTAACCCAGTAAGGGCATCACGATATCTCACCGTCACGGGGTAAAGGTAGGTAGAAAACACAAAAAGACCAATGGAGCATAATTTACAAAAACTCATTTATCAGTAATAAAACCTTTACTATTTACTTACCTCAGTGAAATTTATAAAACAATATACGAAAGCAATAGTATTATCATCATTATGAAATCATGTAAACTCGCAACATAATACTCATCACGTTTTTTGCAATTCAATCATTACACAATCACTTTTTCTCATTCACCAGCCTACTAGTATCCATGGGGATCCATAGGGTCCCACTACCCGTTACCCTTAATACTTGTAATCAGATTCCAAGGCCGTCCCCATACCCCGTCCGGTATGGGCGCTAAAACTATAAACCTCAATACCCCGTCCGGTATGAGGGTGAAACGGGCCGTCCCCATACCCCGTCCGGTATGGGCGCCAAAACACATAAAATCTCTATACCCCGTCCGATATGAGAGACCACAATCCCAGTAGGGTCCTCTACGGACCCGGTCCGTCTACCATCTCTCAGGATATCTAGTCAGGCTGAGCACATTACACAATTATCAATCAACACAATCTTTCATTTTTCTTTCCCTCAATCAGCATCGTCAATTCACATTTAAATAAGCAAACAGCAATTTATGCCAAACAGACAACATACAGTATCGGTATATCAGTCATTCAACCCATAATCAAATAAACAGTAAAATATACACATGAAATTATAAAGTGGAAACATCAAATCTCATACTGCATTTAAAACTGTAAAACATGCCAAATCACAGTTAACCAACAAACACACTAGACTCGGGCTCCATTAGCGATCTTAAGCAATTTTACACATTCGATGGTTCAAGAAATACCATTTTATCATTTTTGAACTTTAACACCATAATAGGAAAT